ATCAGTAAAATCGAAAAATAACGGAATCCACCGGCAACGTCTGCAGTGATGCGGACGCTACACCGGTTTGTTTTGGTGAAGAGGAGCTAAGCCAGGAGGACAACCTCATTTAGCGGGTGACCTTTATCCCAATCCCAGGTCATCCCATCCAGTCGAGGTGGCTCGGGCATCTGGTCAGGATGCGTCCTGGACGTCTCCCTGGTGAGGTTTTCCGGGCACGTCCACCCGAGAGGAGGCCTTGAAGATAGGCTGAAGAACTCAGACATTTGGGAGAGACTCAGAGTAGGGCCGCTGCTCCTCATCGTCGAGTGGAGCAGCTGAGGTGGTTTGGACACCTAGAGGCCTTCAATGGGAAGTGTTTCAGGCATGTCCTGCTGCAGCAAGAGGCCCCTGGACGACCCTCGCCACGTTGGAGGGATCAAATCTCCATGTTAGTCAGGGAATGTCTGGGGCTCCTGCTGGTGGAGCCAGTGGTGGTAACAAGGGAAAGGCAGTTTGGGTCACCCTGATAGAACTGCTTCCCCCATGACCCAGACTCTGATCAGCAGGAGAAAATGGATGGATGGAATACAAAAGCCTCATTTATACTTCTCCATCGGCTCCGAAAGGGAGAAACGCACACCGACAGACGTTTTGCTCTTGGATTCCTCCGTCACTTAGGATGTGCAATTCCCCACCAGGACAACAGAGGGCGTAGCACTTTTCTGTGGTATCCTGCCACCAGTACATTCATGTATTCCAGTCTAGTGATGGGAATTCCAGCTCTCTTTAGAGAGCCGGTTCTTTTGGCTCAGCTCACCAAAAAGAGCCGGCTCTTTGGGCTCCCAAGTGGCTCCTCAGATGTTCTGTAGCGTAGAGTACATTTATCACCAAAATAATGCTAAACTATGTAAAATGATTTACTAATGTAAAAAAAGCTACATATCAAATATTTATCATTTCTGTGGATTTAATAACTGAACAGTTTAAGAAATCTCCACTTTCCGACTGCTGGCGCTCATTTTCTCACCGTCTTCGTCGCACTCTCCTCTCTCGCTCGCCTTTTTCCTCCTCCTCATTCCCTCTCGCCTCCCTCCACCCGCATGTGCTCTGCTGTGTGTCTGAGTCTGATCCTCCCTCCTCCCCACCCCCACTGCTCTGTGTGTGGACAGTCTGGACACGCAGTCACACATGCTGACCAATCACCTGTAGCTTTCACCAAAGCAAGAGGGGAGGGGGAGGGGAGGGGCTCCCGTTGTTCACTTCAAAGAGCCGGCTCTTAGAGCTGGCTCGTTCACGACCGACTCATCACTAATCCGGTCCACGATAGCGTATTTGCTAATGTGTTCATATATTTCAGAGACTTCATTCTCCTCCACCTCTTCATGCGGTCGCCCTCTCCAAACCCACGTTTCTCATCATCTCCACCCACAAGTAAAATGCTTGCTCCACACTTCCTTGTTCCTTCAGTCAATCTGTTCCGTGTCTGCCGCTGAAGATCTTTTTACCTTTTCATGGGGTAATGGTCGTGCTGTTGGCAAATTTAAAGGAAGCCGTGTCCTAACCAATCACAAGCGTGCTTTGTCCGCCACTTCTGATGGATATTTAAAATCTGGGCACGTCTCCGTCGCCCTCTGTTAGCCTGTCAGACACCATGAACAGACGTAAAAGTGACGTTACGCGTTTCCGCACCGACGCAGACTTGAACACAGCTGTAGAGTCACAAAATGACCTAACATCCATGTTGTTGGCTTTTGAAGAAAAAACAAAACAATTCAGGGACATAAAAGTCCTTCACACACGGAGAACACAAGAAGTTCATACCAAAGACTTCCTGGTACAAACTGAACCAGCAGCTTCTTCTACTGAGGCGATGACATCATGGTCTTCGTTATCGTAAAGATTTCAAGCCAGATTACATTAAAGACAAACAAAAAGAGCACATATTGAGAGGCTTTCTGGACCAAGGGCTCAGAGCATATTTAAACGTCTAAAATGTTTCTGGTTCGTTGTTTTAGTGTGTGTTTTTGGGTTTCTGCTCTCGCAGCGGAGGCCCGATGCGGGTGGCTTTTCTAATCACTGAGGCTTTATTAGTTCATCTGACTGGAACAGCGTGATTTGACTAAAGTAATAACGTCGCTTAGGCTTAAAAGACCCGTTTTAATTTGCTTTCTACCCCCTAAGGCAGCACAGGATATTTCACAACATTGTATAAGCTTTAGACCTACACTGATAATAAAAGCATCCGTGTGACATCACAGCGATTAGACATGAACGAACACTGAAGACCAGATGGTTTTAAAATAAATAAAGAAATAATTAAAGAATGGGGCGGTTGAGCAGAAAATTAAAAGAATGGAAACCAACAAGAAAAAAGTAAACAAACGTTATTAAAATGTGAATTATTGAGCATTAACAAGGAAGGGATCTCTTTATTAGTTATTGTTAACTAATAGGTGTCTTTAAGGTTAAGACAAAGGGCCGGAGGGGGGGGGGGGGGGGGGGGTTGCATAATCTGGTAAAGCATTTGTTAATAAGTTTAGGCTGGTTGTGCCACACAAACAAAAAAATCAGTAAATCAATAAATCAGACATGTCATATTTTGAAGAGGACATATGACTATTATTCGTGTTATACTGTGTGGTCAATACAAACCATGTTCATGAAGTTAAATCCTCTCACATAAAGCAACTTTTATTCTTGACAGTTTCAGTACCTCCCAGAATGAGCCGTTTTAGGGCTCTGTCACTTTAAGAAAACCAGCTGGATCTGGCCACGCCCACCCATCCCCCACTCAGGCTGCCTATAAGCCAAGAAGCTCTGATAACTGGGAGGAGCTCAGAGTAGAGATGCTGCTCCTCCAGCAGCAGCTCTCCTCCACACGTGAAAGGTGGTAAATTTTCCTGTTTGTGACATCACAAACAGGCACTTCTTAAAAAGCCTACGTGTTGTTCCTGAAACCAAGCACGGAGATGTTTTGAGTGTTTATAGAAGCAGTAGAGACCCACGTGGCAGTTTTGCACAACGTGTCCCCTTTAACACTTGGACTGGAAGAAGCTGCAGAGGGTCGTGAATAATACGTGCGTCGTTTGTAAAGCTCATTTCATTAAAAAGGTTAAAACGATACGGTGAATTTTCAATATTACACTTTAACGCCCTTTCTACCAATAATTTGGGACATCCCTATTTAAAATTTCTATTTACTGCAAAACACAGCGGAGCACTTTAAGCTGTGGTAGAATAACAAATACAAACATTTCACTTGAGAGCACCTATAGACCGATCACACTGATGACGACTTTGCAGCAGCCATATTTAAGAAACTCACCTCCTCGACCCAGATTGCATCAGTCTCGAATGCTGAAGCCTCCAAACTCATTAAGCCAGAGGAAAGCTCTTCCACTGAAGCAGAAAGGCATGTGGAGAAGACATAAAACAGTCGGATAAACACAACTTTGAATTTCTCTCGCTGCATAACTAACTGTCAGCAGCCCTCCATCATCATAACTGCTTACTAATTCATCCATTTTCCCTTTCCTCTGCTCGCCGCAGCGATGTGCAACTTACAAGTGATTAGTTGGTTTACAACTGATCTCTGTGGGGACTGGGGTCATTAGGGGCATTGTGAGCGATGTCAGGTTGTCTGGGTGCTACCGGATGCCGGGGTGTGCTGAACTGCTGCTCGAGTTTGGACATTAAGTTGCCTTTGATGACTCAGAAAAGTCGATGATTCGTTTGTTTCTCGTTTACTGGTCGAAGCGCTGATGCGGTCGTTAATCCAGAAGGGTGAGAGGAGTGAAAAAAGTTCAATCCTCACAACTGGAAATGAGTTTCTTTTCTCTCTTTGTCACTTAATCCAAGTTCAGTCTGTCAGAGAATGAATTTAGATTTTCACCAATCATGGAGCTAATGTTCCACGTCCTGGCAGCCGGGACCCAATCAGAGAGCACGATCGGTCTAGTCACTGAGCTGCAACACTTTGCTGACAGGTTAGGAAAAGAGATGCTCATGAACTCTGCGTCCGCAGCCGTGGCTCAGGTCTGATAAACAACTCACACCCACAAGACAAAATCAGTCACACACCAAACGGGTTTCTTAAAGATGCAGTTAAGCGCTCGATGCACGTTTTGGGAACAGAAGCATCCATTTTTCACACGAGACACTAGAGAAATGGGTTTGTTTGATTTTATTTGATCTTTCTGGTTTTGTGAGACTGATAAAACTGAGACTGTGGTCTTTAGCTGTGAAACTGAGAAATGCCTTCTGTGGGTCAGGGATGAGGTCCTGCGGGTGGAGGAGTTTAAATGTGTCGGGCTCTTGTTCACAGCTGAAGGAAAGATGGAGCAGGAGATCGATAGGCGGACTGGTGCTGCATCTGCAGCGGTGCAGGGATTGTACCGGTCTGTGTGGTGAGGAGGGAGCCGAGTCGGAACGCGAAGCTCTAGATTTGGGCAGCAGAAGCTCAGAAGGTAGAGCGGGTTGTCCAGTAAGCAGAAGGTGGCAGCTTTGATCCTGACTACCACCTGAGAATTCTGCTGTTGTGTCCTTGGGCAAGACACTTAACCCTCTGCCTTCTGGTGGTGGTTGGAGGGTTAGATGGCAGATGTGCTTGGAGGCCTTGCCTCTGTCAGTGCGCCCTAGGGCAGCTGTGGCTACGATGTAGCTCGTGTGTGTGAATGGATGAATGGCACACTCTGGTGTAAAGTGTTTTGGAGTCCTCTGACCCTGAAAGGCGCTATACAAGTGTGGGTCAGTTATCATTTACTGGTCGATCTGGATTCCAACTCTCGTCTACGGTCTTGAGCTTTGGGTAGGGACTGAAATAATGTGATCGCCGACAGAAGCCACCAAAATGTCACGTTATACTGGAGGGGCCTGGAGTAGATCCGCTGCTCTTCCACATCCAAAGAAGCCAGTTATGGTGACTCGGGCATCTAGTTAGGATGCCTCCTGAACGCCATCCTGGTGAGGTTTTCCAGGCAAGACCAACCAGGAGGAGACCTAGGAAGACCCAGGACACAATGGAGGGACAAATGTTTCTCATCTGGCTTGAAAACACCAAGATCCCCTCAAAGGAGCCGGCCCAAGCGGGAAGTCTGGGTCTCAGCTCAGGCTGCTGCACCAGTGACCTGCCCCCGGATAACCGGAGCACCAGTGACCTGCCCCCGGATAACCGGAGCACCAGTGACCTGACCCCGGATAACCGGAGCACCAGTGACCTGACCCCGGATAACCGGAGCACCAGTGACCTGCCCCCGGATAACCGGAGCACCAGTGACCTGCCCCCGGATAACCGGAGCACCAGTGACCTGACCCCGGATAACCGGAGCACCAGTGACCTGACCCCGGATAACCGGAGCACCAGTGACCTGACCCCGGATAACCGGAGCACCAGTGACCTGACCCCGGATAACCGGAGCACCAGTGACCTGACCCCGGATAACCGGAGCACCAGTGACCTGACCCCGGATAACCGGAGCACCAGTGACCTGACCCCGGATAACCGGAGCACCAGTGACCTGACCCCGGATAACCGGAGCACCAGTGACCTGACCCCGGATAACCGGACGGATGGATGGAATCAAGAAAAGGAAGCAAAATTAGCGATGGTGGGACTATTCCTTAATGATGTTTTACTGTGTTGTTTCAAAGTTTTCTTCTGGTTCGTTTTAATTCTGAAGGATCAAGTTTCAAAGGGAACTTTATTTACACCGCAGAGATATAAGAAATCCTACTGACTTTATAGACACACATAAATCTCTTAAAGTCATTTAATACAGGAGATTTTAAACAAATTAAACTTTTTAAACAATAAAAAATTAAATAATTAATTCTAAAGCCAGTTGTTTTACACTGTAAAAGTTGAGAATACTAAGTCCAAACTTTATTAAACACAAGTTTTTAGGGAAAAAGTACTGCAGCAGTGGATTCTTGCACCTCCGCTATCTCCGGTCCGCCCCCGCCCTCCGCAGCCGCTCGCTTCCGAGCTCAATGTTTACTGGTACCCGCTCTACAACGGCTCCGCTCCGGTGCGGAGACCTGAGGGGGGCAAACAGGCATGCGTGGGATTTTCGAGATCTTGCGATACAGTCCGAGCAATAAACGCGGAAGTTAGATCCAAACACCCGTTGTGTGGGAGAAGCATCGGCATGAACTGTTTAATCTGCCCATCATTTGTGTTGAGAGATCAGCAGTGTTTGGATCAACAGGGTGACTACTTTGATAGTGGAAACTGTATTTATGGCTTATTTTTGTGCATTTAAAGTTCAGCCGCCATTGATAGTTGTTAAAAGTTGTTAAACCTGTGCGTATGAAACAAAAAACGCCTTTTGTTTATCGATTTATTGTGAAAAACGGAAGTTGTGCCTGCTCCTTTTCCTGTTGGGCGGTTGTGGTTTCTGTCCGTTGACTGCGGAGGTGCTCCGGCGTCCGGCGAAAATAGAATCGATCCTATTTTTGCCGGATGGCGGAACGGCGGGCAGCGCACTGCGCCGCACGGCCGCAGTAGTGGAACAGCTCTGATTAACTACAATGGGACCGATTTTGCTGCGGAGTTCGTGCCGGAGCGGAGCGGAGGTGGTGGAGTTTTGGGGTAACAGAGAGCTTCTACATTTCTAATTACTCGTCGAGTAACGAGTCGCTTGACTAGGAGCAGGAAAATGCATCGGTAAACACAGATACATTGTTTACATGGTCATCACCAAACATGCTAACTGAAGATGCTAGCAGCGTCAGACTAGCAGCGAGAAAACAGTGAAACAAGTTGTTTCCGCCCTGAGAAACATCGAGTTGTAATCCCCTGTAGTGATGACCTGCATCATAAACTAACCCAAACCCTAACCCTAACGAGATTTACACTTCTGCTGCTTTTAGCCTTAATGATGGTTGCAAATTCACATCAAACCATTTCTGTTCCTGAAGGGACCAGATCAGTATCAGGATTAGTACCATCATCAGAAACCGGTCTACTGCCCTCTGGTGGAGGAGCCACAGATTGCAATGGCCAGTTTGAAATTATAATTCCATTCATTCATCCATGTTCAGCCGCTTATCTGGGGTCGGGTCGCGGGGACAGCAGCCTAAACAGAGAGGCCCAGACTTCCCTCTCCCCAGCCACTTGGGCCAGCTCCTCCGGGGGAATCCCAAGGCGTTCCCTGGCCAGGTGAGAGACATAGTCCCTCCAGCGTTTCCTGGGTCTACCTTTAGGGCTCCTCCCGGTTGGACGTGCCCAGAAAACCTCACCAGGGAGATGTTCAGGAGGCATCCAGACCAGAAGCCCAAGCCAACCTCAAGTGGTTATGATTACATAACAAATAAAAACAGATCATTATTTATAGATAACAATAAAAAGATTTAAAATTTTCTAAAACTAGGTTTAAATAACTGGAATTTCAAAGGTGTTAATGATTAACAAACTATCCTGTGGCTGGGAGATTAAAGCAGCTTGAATAAAACAGTAAGTGATGGAGGCTGAAATGTTCAGCAGACAAAATCTGTGCTAATGAACATGATTTTGGGATTATAAAAGTAATTTTAAGCAGCGGCTCTGGTTATCACTCGGATGAGAGTAATTCTGATAAGAAGAGGGGCTGATGATGAAGCCGTCTCCCTGGGGAGTCGGAGTCACCACAGAAAACGGAGCTTGGTCGTGTTGCTTTTCTGCAGAGAGAATAAATATGTCTGAAAATGAGGAACTCGCTGATCTGGTGGCAACCCAACAAGCCTGCTGATTGGCTGCTGTAGGTAGCTAACATCTAGAGATGCTGGTCTAACACACACACACACGCACACACACACACACACACACACACACACACGCACGCACGCACGCACGCACGCACGCACGCACGCACGCACACACACTTTTGTTATGGAATCTAAATAAAACAAAGGTACGTTTTTAAGCGACCTAGAAGCTGTTTTTGAGTAGAGCCTTCTGGCCTGAATTGTTTATTATGTGAAGTGCCTTGAGACGACTCTTGTCGTGATTTGGCGCTTTATAAATAAAGCTGAATTGAATTGAATTGAATCACCTGCAACGTGACATTCAACAGAAAACAAAGAACAATGGGGCAAAAACCGATGAGATATTCTCTAAACACAGTTAGAACAAGTTTCTGACTGCAGTCAGAGAGCTGATCAAATCAATTAGATTCATATAAAAAATCAAGACATAAAAAAGCAGGAATTCAGCCCAAGATGAATGCTGCACACATTCATAATCAGAAAGCCAAACAGAAAAAGCAGCGGACCCAAAACCTCAGAACGCACGAGGTTGCCAAACCCTCCGTCAGTCTAAAAGCTTTTGCTTCTATCATCCTGCGTGAGGCAGGAGAGCGGGAGTGTGTCCTTCCACGACTGGGTGTGGATGTCAGAGTGTGATGATGTGTTCATCAGAGTGTGTATCTGTGTCCGTATCCATGCTGCAAGGCTTGTTCCCACTCAGTGGTTTGTCACAGTGTCAACACCAAACAGCACGGACGTGTCCAAATCGATGCTGAAGGCACGTTGATGATTTAACTCGTTTGACTCCGAGTCTCCGTTCCGCTCCCACTCGGTCTCTCAGACTCGTAGCCGAGCACTAGTTGTTAACATTTCTTTAAAAGAGTCATTCGGCATCTGAAGATGTGTTCGAGCTGCTTAAATGTTGTCGACACATTTGTTTCTAGCCAACAGAAGTATTTTCAGATGAGTATTTATTTGTTTCTCCAGAAACGTCTCCACAGCAATAAATGTGACTTTTTGATTCTTGGGTGACAACTCTCACCCATTTGATGCAAACACAGCATCTCCCTGGAATACAAACAAACAAACAAACAAACAAACAAACAAACAAAAAGAATATCCGCTATTTTAAGGTGCACCGATGTGTAAAATTTACAAGCAAATCATGTCTTATGCCATGTACGTAGCTCAGTTTCCAAATATAAATGGACTGATAAGCTAATTGCTAGTCAGAGCTGTGTGTGTCCATGTCGTATGACTCGAGTCCACACCTCTGCGTTTTCAGCCCCGTTGACTTGCGTTCATGTTCTGGTTCTCCCGGGGACCCGTGGTCCAGAAGTAGATGGGCGTGACTTAGGCTCCGTTTTAGCTCATCAGTCCTGCTTCTCTAAACTAAACTAAGCTAAGCTAAACTAAGCTAAGCTAAGCTACTTCTCTCAACAGAGGCCATTCATAAAACCAATATTTTAATTACTTACACCCTCCACAGAAAACACTTTTCAATATGGCCAAGATATCGTATGAAGTTCAAAGTAAAACAAAATTTTATTTAAAAATCGTTCTTAAAAGCTGAAATTGATAGAGTTAAAAATTTGTTATTTTAATGAAACCAAACTTTTTCCTTTTCCATTCATATTTGGAGTTTACCCAAAGAAATGTGCAGAAGTTTAGTAGAATAAAAGCCAAACGGGCAAGGGCGTCAGTTTGTTTCCAGAATAGCTGGGGACAATAACCATACACTTGAGTGGGGTTTAAAAATTGCTGGGGACAATAAAGTAGGCTAGCACAGGGGTCGGCGACTCTGTAGCCGCATGCGGCTCTTCCATCCATCTGATGCGGCTCTGTGTTTGTAAAATAATGAATGGATATTTAAATAAAATGCTTTATATTTTACTGCATTAATTTTACATCTGTATGCCAATTCTAAATGTAAAGATTGTCTGCGTAAACCTGAACAGGTCCAACCCGGTCTTACTGTGAGACCGGGTTGACGCGTCACGCTTGTATGTAATCATAGGCGCTTCCTGAGCTGACGAGGATGTGAGATTCTGGGATTCTCCTCAGACGGCTCCTGGATGTGTCGCCACATTGGAGACGGGAACAAGCGCTATTCAGCCAAAGTTTCATCATCAGGGAACATTTTCTAAGTGACAAGTCTCTCTGAGAGACCGGGTTTGGAAAACACTCGCTTCAGTGGGAGGAACCTTCCTGCATGCGCTCTGGGTGGCTCTGGGGTTAATCAAGTTTAATTGTTTCTCTTTGCAACAATCTTCACAAGAAGGCAAAACAGTTAAACGGCAGGTTACAGATATTTCCATTTGACTGTTTATTTTGACAGATGAACTCAAGGATGTTGCTTGGTTTGAAAGAATTACCCCGACGCACACTGATGCACATGGATGAGCTGACATTTTAATCGTTAACGCACATCGCGGAGGTAAAAGATTCCCATCAGAACATCAGAGCTTTATACTGGACACTGTGTTCAGCGCGGCTCGGAGCGCCCACGGTGGACAGTGAGCTGAAGATCTGGGGTTCGCAGCGCAGCGCAGAACCATGGTGCATGCAATGATTTCCTCCCACTGAAGCGGTCTGGAAACCCGGTCTCTCTGAGGGATGTGTCACTTGGAAAAATGTTCTTTTTATGAAATTATGAAACTGGCTGAACAGCGCTTGTTCCCTTCTCTAATATGGAGACGCATGACACGTAGAGACATTTGATCACGCACAAAGTTTATGTGGAGCAGAAGCGGTCGGGCCACGGCAGGTGAAATGTTCCTAGCCTACATGAAGGGAAACTGTTTAATTGTAACATTAATATGTTACTGGACACACTGGTCTGGTTGGTTAGACCAGTGTTTGAAGTGGAAAACACACACACACACACACACACACACACCAATTAAAATATATGCTGATAGCATGGACTAGAAGACAGGTGATGGTTTACGTATTTAAATGATGATCAGGCTGCTGTAAAATGTAATCTCCATCCACATCCAGACAGAATCAT